ATGATTCGACGTGGTAGCGAGAAAATCACTCCAGACGTCAAGGCCATCCCACTCCTTTAAAGTCACCGCCTTCTCAGTGATTTCCTCCTCAGCACCGCCCGTGTTTCGCTCAAATGCAATGCTCTTTAGCGAGAAAGGTAGGCGCATGTTTTGAGACTAAATTCGAAAATTTAAATTACATTGCTGTCGCTCGTCCCTCTCAGACCAAAGAGGGCCTGAAATCCTTTTTTAAGCAATTCCACGGTAAATTGAAGTTGCTTTTCGTATTCAGCACCAAAATGGTCCAAGATGAAAAATTCGGAGTCAAAAATTAGCCAGAGTAAGCGTTGTTATACTCCTTAAACACAACCCAAAGAATTTCAGCCCAATCTAATTTCATAGGAGAAACATCAAGAACGTGGTTGAGTTCTTGTCATCATAAGCACACGAAGCTTATTAAATAACAGCATGTGTAACAGCTCCTGAATTTTTGAGTACAGGAAGGCGGGATGGGAGGCGAGATTCAAGAACATGGGTGCAGCAAAGAAACGTAATACAAGTAAATAAGACAAGGAATTAAGTAGCGCTTGTTGAAAATGCGTATCTTGTTCACCCTCAAGTTTTTTTTCTACATTCGCAAAAAATGCTGTCACTTATTCAAATAAGACTACTAAAATTAATACAACCAACATAGTGTCAATGACTAACATCTCATGGAAAAGCCGCAGCAGTCTGGCTGTAGCGTAAATCATGTTAATTATTCACGGTCAGACATTGAGAGGAACTAATGTGAAAATTACCTTACTACTATTCAGATAATACTTCCACAATGGCCGAATCTTTTGCTGGCCACCAGCGTCCCACACTGCGAAGGACAAGTTGCGATAGTCTACAGTCTCGACATTGAATCCTAAAAACTATTGCCCTTTTGTGAGCATAAAGGATAGATTGGTCCAAGATTTTCAAGTAAAAATTGGTGTGAGGTCAAGAGATCACATCATACATTACATGGAGATTACATCCATTAAACTCGATGCCATCTAAATCTACGTAACTGGCTGCGTGAGCAGTTCTCGTCGCAGGGGTGTATGGCGAGTGACACGATTTAGTAGTCATTCAGAGCACTGGATGTCATACAATGAAGTATTTTGAGTTGTAATTGTATACTAATTTCTAACAAAAAAGGTACATTCTCCACTATGTCTCAGGGTCTGATGAGATAGATCTGACTGAAGATGGATTTGAGGATTGTTTCTCACTTCAACCAGCTTCAAACACAAGTTTTCGTACTGTCCGTATAACTCATGTAGTTAATAAGTGGGTGAAACTTTTTCCTTGTTGTTTCAAAAAGGCCAGAGCTCCCGAAAATGGCTTTTGGTGTGTTAAGCAATACAGTGAGAGCGCAAAAAAACACATCACTTGACAGCCTCCCAACTTATGATAATCAAATCAGCTTTAGCCGTGGAAACATAAGCTTTTTACAGATAAACTAAATTCCAGAAAACTATGTGC